GCTGATCTGGAACTCACTAATTCATTAGGTAGACCAGGTTAGCCTGAACTCACGGTAATCCTCCTGCCTCAACCTCCCAAATACTCAGCTAACAGACATGAGTCAGCAGCTTTGACGGAGAAAAGCTATCTTGAAAGCCTGTTACACCCAAGGAAACAAAAATATAGATGAGAAGCGAGTTTTCAATAAAACAGTGGAATTAGGTTAAATAGAAAGCTATACATAAGATATGGGAAGAAAAAAAATCTGTTGACCCATAATTCTACATTTACTGAAACTGTTCTTTAAAAACAAAAATAAGCTGATTAAGAGCACTAGCTGCTCTTGCAGAGGATCTGAGTTCGACTCCCAGAATCTACATGGGGCTAACAACCATCTATAACTCCAATTCCAGGGGATCTGATGCTCTCTTCTGACTTCCTTGGGCAGTGCATGACATGGGTCCATTTAACACACATGTGGGCAATACACTCATATGCATAAAATAAAAATAATAAAATATTAAAAAATAAAAATAAGCCACTGGGGCAGCACAAACCTAAAGTACTAAGGAGGCTGAGGCAGGAGTATAGTAAGTTCCAAAGTAGTTTGGGCTATACTGTGAGACCCTTTCTTCAATAAGAAAAAAGCAAAGATACAAACAAAAATAAAAGCAAAAGCATTCATCTCAGATTAAGACCTCAGGGGATTAATGGTGAAGTTACTATCAGAGTTGCTACCCATCTGGCTAGGCTGCTCAGTGGCAGCACTTGTCTAGCATTCCTGTTGGCCTGAGCTCAATCCCTAACACTGCTAACCAAAGAGGAATAAAAACTGCTTGAGCTGACAAGAACTTGTCACTTCTGAACTGTGATCATGAGACTTCAAGTAATTTTGTAATCAGAAAAGTCATTGGGCAGGAGGGGTGAGCTCTGTGGGTAAAGGTACCTGCCACCAAGCCTAACAACCCAAGTTCAAGCCCCAGAACTCCTGAAAGTTGTTCTCTGATCTCCATTTGCACTACATGCTACAGGCACGTGCGTGCGCCTGCAAGTGCACAACACACACACACTACATAAAAATTAAAATGTTAACAGTCTATCATAAATTTTTTTAAAAAAGAAAATGTGGTATTTTATATAACAGAAGTCTTGTCAGCCATGAAAAGCAATTCTGGTGACCACATGGATGCACATTATGCCAAATGAAGTAAGCCAGGCACAGAAGACAAACAGCACCACAGCCTCTTCCAATCTGTGTAGTTCTGCTTCTGTCTCTCTATTGTGTTCTCTTCCTCCATCCTTCCTGCTTTCTAAGGGCCTTTTGATTACATTTAACCCACCCACATGATCCATTTCCATCTCAAGATCCTTAATCACATCTATAGTCTCTCCTGCCACAGAAGACCTCCTGGAAGTCTCAGGAGTTAGGACAGGGACAGCTTTGGAGGCTCATTCTTCTGTTGACTAGAACACTGAGTTTTTAGCAAAAAGAGAAACTAGTAGCTTGCCCAGGAAAGGTACTCGAAAGACAGATAAACTTTCTAAGTCCCGGAATGTCTTAAAGTAGCTTTCATCTGCTCTCCCACTGGACAGCTGGAAAAAGGTCTTTTCCATTTTTTCTAATGCTGGTTTCATGATGAGTTTTCATGAGTATCTGATTATTGTTCCTGAAAGGTGGTCTGTATTAGTTCTCTACAAGCTTTTAGGATCTCCCTTTATTTCCCAATGATGTCTACAATTTCCTCTGAAGCAAACAAACTCCAATTACACCTCATTACGTTCATGGAATTTCTTGGCCAGAGCTGGAGGATGTTGAGCAGATGGAGTTAATGGCTGATTGGCAGGGTACTGCTACCATTACTTGGAGCTTTTTCATTTATAGGAGTTCTGACACTTTGGCTGAAGCACTTGTGGCTGTGCTCAGCAAGGAGCGAGGGTTGAGGATGCACCCGAGCTCTGTGTCATGGACCTTGAAGCAGGGCAGTTCTGTTCTGAGAGAGGTTGTCCTGCAAGGGAGTCTCCAAAGACAGTGGTCCATTCTCTCTGGATGACTCTTAATGACTTTTGCTTTTACATTTATTTATTTAGTGTGTGGGGAGAGTGCCCATGTGCTGCACATAAAGGTCAGAGGGACAACTTGCAGGGAGTCAGTTCTCTCTTTACCTCATGTGTGTCCCGGGGATGAAATTGAGGTCATTAGGCTTGG